AAAACTTCAACACCAATCACTAATTGCATGAAGAAAGGCCAATTCACATGGACAAAGGCATCTTCCAAAGCCTATGAGGAAATCAAGAATTGTATGGTTCAAGCTCCAGTATTGCACCTACCAGACTTTGCCGAAGTGTTTTAAGTAGCTTGTGAAGCCTCTCATGTTAGCGTAGTAGGTGTCCTTAGCCAAGAGGGCCATCCAGTGGCATTCTTTAGTGAAAAACTAAACAATGCCAAGCAAAAATACTCCACTGATGCAGAAAAGATGGCTAGAAAATATGAAGAAAAATATATATATATATATATAATATTACAAAAGGCGAGGGAAACCAAATTGAAAAGCTAACATTATTATTTGGCAAAATTCTACCCTAGAATTAGCATAATAATGATGTCTGAAACACAGCCAATTTTCAGCATGTTAATGTTGAAAATTTAACTACCAACCACCAATAAAGTTCAATTTTCAACATGTTAATGTTGACAGTTTAGCCACCAACATATCTTTATTTTGAAAATCTCACTAATGTATATCTTTTACTTTGAATGTCTTTTATTGTATTGAAATGCCTATAAATATGGAAGCTCACAATGTGAGTGCTTGGAAAGTTGTTATTTTAGTAAGCTATTTTAGTTTTTGGCTATTTTAGTAGACTAAAATTTTTGTATTTGGGAACATGATTAGATTTTTTGTAATTAGATGTGATGTTTGTGAGAGAAAAAGTGAAATGATTATGGGTTTGATGTGACATTTTATCTTATTAGTTATTTTAGCCTATTTGTCTTTTTGTGGATTTTAGCCTAAAAAAAGCTAAAATTTTTCTTGCCAAACACCCCTAATGTATTGAGGGAACATGAATGAAATAAGAAAGCTTTGCAATATGTAAAGATGTGTGATACATCTCTCTTTGGGTTTGTGAAATGCAATAGGCGTGATTGCCTAGTTTTCTTTGTTTATGTACCGCTTTTTCTATTACATCTTTGCCTAAAATCCAGCTTACTTATCCTGTCTCTAAACTAAAATTTAAGCTCTCCAAACTCTACCTTAAAATACCAGACCCTAGCCACAATCTGTCCCCAAACCCCCCATAACATTTAGCCCATTTTCTCTCTTTATTTGACCCAATTTTGGTACTGAAATTAAAGATCTTGCATCAATTTGGTATCAGAGCAGGTTCAGCACCATGTCTACTCATATAGGAAGAACTTTCTGCGTGAGACTCACCAACAATCAAAGAGATGATCTACTTCTTTAGATTTGAGAGCAGATGCAAAACCTTCAGTCTCGTGTGGGTGACCTTGAAACAAGGTTTGCTCATATTGTAGCTAACCAAGTTGCCAACAATGGAGGAGAACCATCCAGAGGCATTGTTAATGACGAAGAAGGTAGAGAACAAGAGAGGCAGCAAGTGAAACAAACAACTGCCCAACCTTATTCCAAGAAGGTAAACGTCTTTAGGCATGGCCAACTCCCATAGTGTGACGGGTGGTGTGTACAAGGCCCAAGAACGAATTCACCGTCGTATGGCTGACCGGCGATTACCAGCGATTTTGGCTTCATGCAGGGGAGTTGTTGCCTACAATCCAAACTGAGAACAGGTTTTTGGAGTTAGCTCACCCTTGCTGGATTGTGACCCTTTGTTCCGGCCATTGACGTGTGTCGCCCAGGGCATAAGAGGCATGATGACTTGACGTAATCCTCACCTTCCTCCGACTTATCACCGGTAGTCTGTTCAGGGTTCCAAACTCAACAATGGCAACTAAACACGAGCATTGCACTCGTTGCGAGACTTAACCCAACACCTTACGACACGAACTGATGACAACCACGCACCACCAGTGTCTGCGTTCTCGAAGGCACCCCTCTTTTTCAAGAGGATTCGCGGCATGTCAAGCCCTGGTAAGGTTCTTCACTTTGCATCGAATTAAACCACATGCTCCACTGCTTGTGCAGGCCCCCATCAATTCCTTTGAGTTTCATTCTTGCGAACGTACTCCCCAGGCAGGATACTTAATGCGTTAGCTACAGCACTACACGGGTCGATACGTATAGCGCCTAGTATCCATCGTTTACGGCTAGGACTACTGGGGTATCTAATCCCATTCGCTTTCCTAGCTTTTGTCTCTTAGTGTCAGTGTCGGCCCAGCAGAATGCTTTCACCGTTTGTTTTCTTTCCAATCTCTACGCATTTCACCGCTTCACTGGAAATTCCCTTTGCCCCTACTGTACTCCAGCTTGGTAGTTTCCACTGCCTGTCCAAGGTTGAGTCCTAGGATTTGATAGCAGACTTGAAAAGCCACCGACAGATGCTTTACGTCCAATCATTTCGGATAACACTTGCCTCCTTTGTATTACCGCGACTACTGGCACAGAGTTAGCCGATGCTAATTCCCCAAATACTGTCATTGCTTCTTCTTTGAGAAAAGAAGTTCATGACCCGTGGACCTTTTACCTCCACACAACATTACTCCGTCAGGCTTTCGCCCATTGCCAAAAATTCCCCACTGCTGCCGGTCGTAGGAGTTTGGGTCATGTCTCAGTCCCAGTGTGGCTGATCATCCTCTCAGATCAACTACTAATTATCACCTTGGTAAGCCATTGCCTCACCAACTAGCTAATCAGACGCAAGCCCCTCCTCGAGCAGATCCCTTCTTTTGCTCCACAGCCTACGGGGTATTAGCAGCCGTCTCTAACTGTTGTTCCCCTCTCAAGGGTAGGTTCTTATGCATTACTCACCCGTCCACCACTGGAAACACCATTTCTCGTCCGACTTGCATGTGTTAAGCATGCCACCAACATTCATCCTAAGCCAGGATCGAACTCTCCATGAGATTCCCTGCCCCCTCACGTCAATCCTACGACCAATGCCACAATTTCTTTTTGTTGAGTGGAATCGGAACTTGCTCGAAAGGTACTATCAGCACCAAAATCAGGTCAAATAAAGAGAGAAAATGGGCTAAAATAATATGGGGGGTTTGGGGGGACAGATTGTGGTTAGGGTCTGGTATTCTAAGATAGAGTTTGGAGAGCTTAAATTTGAATTTAGAGACAGGACAAGTAAGCTGGAGTTTAGACAGAGAAATGTAGTAGAAAAAATGGCAGATAAAACAAAGAAAACTAGGCAATCACACCTAGGTTCTAGGGCAATCACACCCAAGGGTTAGGGTTGCATCACACAAACCCAAAGAGTATCACACATCTTTACATATAGCAAAACTTTCTTATTTCATTCATGTTCCCTCAATACATTGTGAGCTTACATATTTATAGGTATTTCAATACAATAGAAGACAAATACAAAATCCAAAGTAAAAGATATATATTAATGAGATTTTCAAAGTAAAGATATGCTCGGACTTTATTGCTGGATGGTGGCTAAATTTTCAACATTAACATGCTGAAAATTGGACTTTATTGGTGGCTGGTGGCTAAATTTTCAACACTAACATGCTGAAAATTGATTGTGTTTCAGACATCATTATTAGGCTAATTATAGGGTAGAATTTTGTCAAATAATAATTTTAGCTTTTGAATTTAGTATTCCTCTCCTTTGTAATATTATATATATATATATATTCATTCATATTTTCTAGCCACCTTTTCTGCATCACAAACCAAGAGATGACTTAGCTGAATTATGTCTGTTGTCCGATATAAAACTTCTTTCAACCCTTGGTCAGCACTAACCATACAAGATTAACGAAAGATACTGTGCAGAAACATTTGATTAATGATTACACTATGTATGGTAACTTAGGAGAGAAGAAAATAAATGACTATGTAAGTTAAGACAGAAAAGAAAAGATTGTGATTTCTCTCGCTCTTGTTTGGATAAAATAGGAGAGAAGAAAAGAAATGATATCGATTTATCTAATATCTTGTTTGGTTAAGCTATATAAAAGAAAAAGAAAAAAAAAAACGAAACGAAATGATATCATGTTATATTACCAAATTAGCCTTTTATAAGAGTTAACTTTTTGTTTCTCCCATATCTAAAAGGGTAATTTTGGTATTATAACAAAATAACATTTAGTTGGTTTCTTCTTCCTCCCAATCTTTCCACTTCTGGAGATATTCAAAATAGGAGTTATGAGAGATATGAGTTTCTCTCCATTTCTTTCTATTTCACTCAATTTCTCTCCTCTTCACTTATCCACATGAGTGATATGGACCAAAAGAAATGCATTTATTTTCTTTTCTCCCCAAAACACCCAGTCCAAACAGGCTGGCAAACTAATTTACTCAAGTAGCACTTACTTGTAGCTCTTACTTTCCAGGTGGATCCTATAGGTCACCAACTATAAGGTAACCAAAAATAACAAACCAAACTACTCAAGTGGATACTACCAATCGCGAAGACAATCCAACCCATAATATTACAATGTCATTTCCCCTTAGAAAGTTTCATACCTATAACACAACTACCTCCCAAAATAAAGAAGCTTCCAGAATACCTCTTAAGATTTAATAAGCCCTTTCTTAGCTCATTAAAGAATAAAATAAGCCCTGACATGATGACAGGAATGGAGCACAATTTTCCATATTTAAACAGAATCAAGGTCTGAAAGCAGAATCTTCAACTGGAAGATAAAAATGAACACTAGAAACCAAGTTAATTTTTAAACGGAAAATCATTAAACAAAATCTGGATGATAAATATTTAGAGATTTCATCCTCATTTAATTTTAGCAAACTTAAACATGAAACGTTTTCAATTGCAATGCCCCCCAAAATCTCTGCTCACAAGTTGCAAAGGGAAGAATGACAAAAGATAACACATGACAACCAAAGCATGACTAAGTATACATAGCATGGAAAATCATAAGCTCGACAACAGAATACCTATTTTGCATGTTATGCTCTATGTGCTCAACAAAAACAACAAATCTTCAACTATGCTAGGTTCCTCTAGCCACAAACAAAATTTTTATACAGAAAATCAATCTAGAATGGTGTAAAAGTGAAAATTTATGCGCCGCAATGTTTGGTGTTTTGGATTGAAATGAACAGACCGCAAAAGGCCACATCAGAATTATGTAGAAAAATAATGTTTGTTAGCATTACACAGCAACAAGACAAAACTTCTCCTGTTTGTATAGCATTATTCTGCAACAAATGTAAAATCCATACAGAAACTAGCATATGTGCATATATAGGCATGTAACTATACACATATTGCTATTGCAGCTAAACACACAATCATCAAAATAAAATCTAAACATATCAAGAGCAATAAATGGACCACCCAACACTGAATATTACTTCCATTTTAGTAAAAAGTATTTCTAAGCCATCCAGTAAACCTATCCAAAAAAGTAGCCTTTCCATGTAAAGATCACCCAAGATAAAATTGCAACACTAAACATTGAACAACAGAGTACCGTTTTTTGGGCTCAAAATATCACAAGCAGCGAGAAGAGAACGTAGATCAAGAAACACGCATAGGCAATCAATCCACGGTGCTCGTCTCCACAAGAAGCAAGCTCAACAAGAAGCCTCGTGCAAACCCGAGTAGACCAAATCACAAAAACCCCCGCTGTCACGAAAATCGCCACCCCACCTTGCGGAAGAAACAGCGAAATTGCCGATAAAATCACTATTGGCAACATACAGTACCCGATTAAACTCACGCACCGATACAAATCCAAATTCCCATTTCTTCCAGCCAACAAATTGAACACCACATAGAGAAACAGTGCAGTGACAGTGACCCAACCGAGTATAATTCCGAAATGCAGCTTCCCAGCCAGCAATTGGAACAACCCAAAAGCCAACAAGAACAGAAAGGGACCCGATAAATCGGCATTTTCGTGGAGATCAGCGTTTACTCTAAACGGGTTCACAATCGACACGGTTTTGCTCCAAATCTGACGAGTATTGATTCCCAGTTCTTCGAGTAGTGGCGGTTCGTCCTCGAACCCAGACCCGATTCCGATCGAGTTGGCGCCGAATTGGGGAGCTGAGAAGGAAGTCGATGGTACGGCGGAGCCGACGTCGAACGACATGAAGGGCATGCTAGGGTTTGCAGATCGCGGCGGCTGGAACGGCGCCGTTGGAAGCCGCCTTTGTTGGGCGGTGGTGCCGGGGTTTCCTCCGGAGGGGAAGACTACCGGCGGTACGTTGAATTCCTTCGACATTATCGAGGATCGGGTGAGATGAATTGGGGGTTCGAATCTCAAAACCCAGAATTAGGGTTTCGAGATCGGAATCGAGAGAGAGATTTTAGGGCAAAATCGGGGTGAGAAATGAATATATTCGTTGAATCTGGCAATGAAATGTGTGGAAGAAAGAGGGGCAATTAGGGTTCTGAGGTTTGAATCTGAAGAGAGAGTGAGAGAGAAGTTGAACTAGGGCTTGGCTTCTTCGATCTTCGAATATTATTTGAGAGTGGAGATTGGGAAGATCTATCCGTTTTTTATCTATCGGCCAGAGAAACGTACAACTCTTTAAAGCACAAATTAGTTGCACATTGCGACTGTCGTCACATTTTGGCTGTTAGCCCTTCCATCTATTTTTGGGTATTTCAAAGGAAAATTTTTGGGACCTCCAACCAAAAAAATTCGAATAGTTTTAGGACTGGTTTGATAATCCTTCAAAAAGTTAAAAATTTATAAAGTTATTTAAAAAGTTAAAAATTATTCATAAAAAAAAATATTAAAAAAATAATATACAAATATTATTACAAATAAAAAAAAAAACCTAAGATTAGACATTCCGTGACGATGGAGTCAGTGACCGGGAAAATAAAAAAATTATAGTAAAATATTTACTAAATTAGATGGTAAAGTTGGGTCTGTGCGGGCCATCATGAGTCTCGTTTTGATAATTTGAACCGTTCAATATGTAGAACTAGTCTAATACTATATATCTGTAAAAAATCACGTCTATCGAATATCGTTAATTACATGATCAAATCAGTTTTGTGTAAAATGGATGGTGTTATAGTTAACAGTTAACAAAAAAAAAAAAAAACAAACACGATCAGATAGCTATCGATATCCAATCAACGTTAATTTTTATAAGCATATAGTACTCGATGAGTTTTAAACATTGAACGGTTTCGATTAGAAAAACGGGACCCGTGGTGGCCCCCACAGGCCAAACAACACAATCCAATCAAAGCCCGAGAAGTAGACAATAATTATACAATTTTTTAATACACATTTTTTCATAAAAAGTCAAAAAGTTAACCCAAACATTCATATTTTTTTCCCTCAACTTTTTAGTCCAAAAAGACAAAAAATACACTTATTTAAAACACCCCAAACACCCACTTAATGTGTATGTGTGTGAATCCTATTTGATGTGATATTTTGATCTTGTATTTTTTTATTTTCTACATCACTAAAACTCAATTAGAGTTCTAATTTTAGAGGATGAATTACTATTATATTTAAAAACATTAATCATTTTTTAACAGTGAAAGCAAAAGGTGTTAACCATATTAAAATGAATTTAAATATAATAATTACATATTCCTTTACAAAGTTAGAATTTTTAAAAAGTGACTACAAAACGGAACGAAATTTGTACATTTTGTTTTTCGATAAATTGGAATTATATTAAAATTAAATTAAGGAGTATATAATTTTGGAATAATTGATCCCTCTTGCATCATCATATAATTGAACGGTAATACGATGGGAAAAATTGTGAACTTTTTTTTAACAAAATCTACTAGAATGTCAGCACATCCATTAACCTCTCGGTAAATATGTTTTTTGAGAAAACAGAACAGATAGTATAGACTCAGAAAGTATGCTTAATTGTATGCACCTTCAGCTAGTCCAACAACAAATAACTACAATCATAAATCAAACTACTCATAGTAACTATTGTTGATTTCTCCCATAATGAGTTGCTTTGCAAATAGGGCATCAATTTCATCTTCAATATTAAGGGGTTGTTTAGAATGACCTAAATAAGTATATTTTTTGTCTTTACGAAAAGATGTGCAGAAAAGTAGAGAGGTGATGTAATGAAAAAAAGATAAAAGATGAATTATTTTTGAATTGCCAAACTTGACCTAAAAACACCTTTGTCACGAGCCAAATTAAGGCTCTCTAATTAAAGCCATCTCTAATAGACCACAACTAATTAAGGTCATCTTTAATAGTCCACAACTCAGCTATAATACTACAAACAACCCCAATATCTTGCAAAACCTGTAATCCATTTCCCCTAACTAATCCCTGATAATGCCCCACTCAGTCAACCGCCAGTATTAGCATCCTACACCAGGAGATTTCCTTTCCAAACTATATAATGTATAACCTAGGCCTTGCTAACCCAACTGAAATTTGTAAGATGTTGCCACTCAAGAGCAATAGCATTGCCTTTTTAATAACACTGGTTCAAGATTCTATGTAGTAAAATTTTCTACTCGAAACATTAAAGGCTCACTATTCACAACAATGATATGATAAAGAAATTAAGCCTCATATTTTTATAACAAATCAAAAACTGGCACAACTTATTATGTCATCATAGGTACAATTGTAAGATGGCTTTCAATCTTTTATTTATTTTTTTTTCCCCACCCTTTTTGCTATGGTCTTATTGGGATAATCCAACGGCATATGTTTAAAGTTAAAGTAGGGTTGTTTCATTTCAATTAAAAGGTGGATATTCCAAGTTCCCTAACACAACAGAATTGGATTGTTGCAATGCATATGGGAAATACTTGTCTGAATTAACTGTGAACAGTAGAGCAAGGACACAATTTAAGATCAAATCAAATATCTACATAGTGCATTATATGGTTTGCAATATTAGTTTTGAAATAGTTTGCAATAAACCAGTAAAAAAGTGATGACCAAAGCCTTCTTGTAAGAATACAGCCGGGTTGCACTGAAGTGTCCAGGGGGCAGAAACTAAGAGCCACCTCTTTCTTGAATTATAATTTTCATCCAGATTTCTTTTTGGCACTTTCTGGTGCTGCAACAGGATAAATGTATCTTAAATTCCAGAGGATATAAATAGCCCAAATAAAAAATAAAAACAATTTATTAAGAAAAAATAACCAGTTCCAATTAAATCAGGGGAAAATATACCTTCGTCCGAACAAATACATGCTTTTGTTTTCTCAACTCTGGTAGATTCATTTCCTAATTTCATTCTTCATCATCATCAGTGGTATAGCATAGCTCTCAGGGAACTCGAGGAAACTGCCAACCAGTGAGCTTCATCGATACACAAGAAGCTCTCATTGAAAGCCAGATTGGTGGAATGGATCAAAGAAAGTGAATGTACGATTTATATGTCCGCTCCAACCCACCTCGGCTGCATATGCCTGCACACCTGCCAATTGAGATAATATGTGGCTGCACTTTAGCACGCCTGTTCACATTTCAAGCTCAGAACGTGCTGGCAGGGTGCAGGCATGGCCCACGCCCCTCACCGGGGCCGGGCTAATCCAAAACTTGCATCAGGTTGCTGCTGATGAGACTGGATAAAGGCATGCAATGAAAACAAATTATAGATAAGTAATGATCTAAAATTAAGTTGTCTTCTCCAACTCTGAAATGTAAAAAGCATAACCCTCAAATGTCACAATCACAATGTAATTTATGCTTGCGAAGATTCATATAAAATCTGTGTTGGTTATTAGATTTAATTGCATGCCGGTGTGTGAGTGAGAGACAAAGTGATCTATATGAAGTCCCCATTAGAGCAGTTTCCAGACTACCAATTATATCAATGGTAGGAAAGGAAAATCAATGTCATAGTCATACCTGTGAAAAGGGTTGGTGCACCTGTTCATGAGGGTGGATGAATGGCATTCCAGGGCGCTGACAAAGATATTGACCTGCATGCAAATACAAGGCAGAGGTGGAGCGTGCACCCACATGATTCTGACTAAATAGGGTCATCATGGCATCTGGATGACCATAACCAATTCCAGCAGGGGTTGATGGTGCTGCAGTCCATGACCCCGGTAAATGTTGAGGGAGTGACCGAGGTTGGTGTTCAGTAGATATCAAAGGGTTATGAGCTGACCCAAGTTGTGGAAATTCAGTGTTGTAGTTCAATACAGGGGAGTACAAAGGCTGAACGGTATATGGACCTCCATTGAACCCAAATCCAGGGTCAAATCTTTGCATATATCTGGTAAAGAAAAGCATTATAATACTAGCACCTGTGGCCTACTAATATATATAAGAAACAATAGGCATTATTGATTAAACTAGTCAGGATCTCAGTCACTAAACAGGGTCTTCAAATCCAGAACGAGTCAGACAGTTGAAAGAAGAAAACTAAAGCAGTCAGTTATTCATGTTTCAACATTTCATAACCAATGAGAAAGCACTGAAATGGAGTTTTAATTTCTTTTATTTTTATTTTTTGTTCTACAGGTAATGGACTTCATAAAGAGGGGTATATCCCTTCCCCAGCACATAACCCTCCAACTTCGATGAAGGTGGGACTTGGTACTAGACCTTGGAACCACCATTAAGAGGTTTTACCAGCCAAGGTAGCTGGCACCTTCAAAATGAAGCATTAAATTACGTATACAGTTCACAAATAATTCTTACACTATAATCTTTTTGCCAGAGACAATGCTATCAATCTATTTATTTAATGTTTTTCAAATTTCATTTTCCCAGTATGTAAGTATGTCCATATACATAATTATATAATGCATATATGTAAATGTATATTATTGATAAATATGACAACATATTTGCCCACCCTGCAACTCTGCATTTGGGGATAGCAGGAGAGAGCACTCAAACTAAAAGCTAGTGGCTGTCCATCACCATACTAAAACCTAAACAAGGCCTTCAATAAATCCACAAGGTTTGACACACTGACTGAAAAACTAACTGCCAACTAATTAGATTGAGTAGTATCCGAATCCTCTCCCCACCAACGAGAGGGTAGGGTTGAGGACAACCTTATTGGAACAGAGGCAAATACCTCTTATTCTTGTCTCTTTTTTTCTTAGTTATGTTCACAAAAGGTTATTTTGGAAGTACTGAAAGTTTTTGCGTTACAAGGAACTATTTGTCAATGCTGTGAAAATGGAAAATGAAAAAAAAAAATATACATACAAAAAAGAAAGGAACATTTGGTAACATTTTTGTTCTATGTTTTTGGTTCTAGAAAAAAAACAGTAACCGATGCAAATTTTCATTATTTATGTTTCTGAAAACACTGAAAAATGAAAACATCAAAAACAAAAATGATACCAAATAAGCCCTAAATTTTCAAGAATAAGATTAATGTAGTATTTAGATGCAATTGGAACTAGCCAAATTAGCCAAAACCCTTGCACCTCATTAAGAGGTAAAGGGTTCAAGTCTTGCCACATGCAAGAATTCCCACCATACAGCCTCCCATGTACTAAAAACAATGTTTAAAAAAAAAAAAAAAAAAAAAAAAATGCATCACTAGAGAGAGAGAGACGCATTTGGACCTTCAAACCTTGCACCCCAAAGGTCGCGTAAGACCACAATCACCAGTCACCGCACAATTGTCAATCATATAAATGAAAAGAAGAGATTATCTTGCTGTCCCTAACAACAATAATGACAAAGGTTCCAATTTGAATGGAAAACAGTTGTAGAACAAGCTTTATGTTTCCAACATTGTTCAACAAAATAGGGATAATATTCCCTTCAAGACCGGAAAATTAATATTATCCCATCTATATCATGGATGCTATTTAATACTAAGGAGCACAGAGGGGAGGGAGGGAGAGACAAATAAAGGCATACCTGTCGTAGTTTCGATCATAATCAGGGTCCTTGCGGTCACCATCACGGTCCCGGAAAATAGCCACCCTACTGTTTGTTCTAGACCTACCAACTGGCTCCTCTGTCCGACTTCTAGCTAATCTACTGCTACTAGTTGGAGAATCAATTAAACCCCTGCTAACGTTAACATCAGATCCTCCTGGAACACATTTCTCTTCCGCCTTTGATATCCCTGATGAATCTTGGTGGAAATTATTATCCTGCCTCCTTGGTTCACTTTCTGGTCTCCCACCAGTACCCCCACTAAAACTACTGGAGCTAAATATCCGTGCACGAGCCCTGTTGTATTCCTCTTTCCTCTCCTCCACACTTCTTGAATTATTGGACTTTATTGAATGTGAATTTACACCACTAACAGAAGGTGACTTTTTCTGTGGCCTCTGCTTAATAGCAACCTTAATGTCACCACTATCTTCCATTGGTAAATTTACAGGGATGTCTGCCAGGCGAATTAAAGGAGGCTGATACTCAGAATTCTTGCGGACAATAATTCTGGAACCAGAACCATCAGGTACATTATTATCCAATAAAACCATTGACTGCAATGAGTAGTGTTGGGCCACACGGTGTGCAGCCAACCGTAGATAGGAAGTTGGCAGTTGCTGGAACTCCATTTGCTGTTGAGTAGGATCCTGGATGAACTTTTCAACATCTTGCTCCATCCTTAGAACTGAACAACATTAGAACAAAAAGAAACCTCAATTGGACTCTCAAATATCAACAATTCAAATATGCATCATGGTGAACAATTTTCTCGCAACAGTAGTGATGATGATAGTAAGACACTGATGATGTCGGTGATGATGACAAAAAGTTAAGACTCTGATTTAGTCAGTAACTGAACAATTATCGGATTGACACAACAGTCGTAGGATTGATTCATCTTACTTTTGGAATTGTGAACTTGAACAGCCTTTTTTCTTTCGTTCTTTTTTTTTTCTCCATTTTTCTTTTGAAGAAACATGATACTATTACAGAAAAAGGAAAACAAAGCAAGAAATTGTAATACAGAAGTCTACATAATCAAAATGAGATCTCTAGCACCTTCAGCAGGGAATGAACATTCCAAAAACATAGTACACTGACACTAAAATGCTAAATTTAGCAATCCATACAATATTTTTCATTTTTTGTAATTTAGTAACCACATGATCAAGGGGATCGACTGCATGAATCACCTTTTGTCACTATCAAGGGCTATATACTCAGTTAAATTAAATAAATGCATTTTTTTTTACTATCGCATCCCATTTCAAGCCCTCCCCTCTCCCTAACAATTCAATTTGTGGTGATTATATTCCTTACCATTGCATCTAAAAGAAATTATTAAAAAATAAAATAAAAACCTACAAAACAGTTTGAGAATGATGCATGAAAAGTATGGCTCCGTTTGGTAAGCCTCTCAAAAATATAATTCTACCCATTGATTTGAGTGTGTTGTTTGTTTGGAGCTTTCAAATCATAATTTTACACCCATTTCTCAAAACTCAATTCAAAACATAATCATTACTTTTCAAAACTCATAACCAAACACATAATTCAAAACTCTTTTCAAAACTCAATTCAAATCAATATTTTAATTTTTTAAATATTTTAAATATTTAAATTTGCTAAGATTTTAAATATTTTAATATTTAAATATGTTACGATTTTTTTAATTTTTTAATTTTTTGAATATTTTTAAATATTTTAATTTCAAAATATTACGATTTTAATTTTTTAAATTTTAAAATATTTTATAAAAATAAATTCAAACATGACGGAATAAAAATATTTTTAAATATTTTAATTTCAAAATATAGTTTGAATTTTTTTTATAAAAAATTTTAAAATTTAAAAAATTCAAATTGTAATATTTTGAAATTAAAATATTTAAAAATATTTAAAAACATTTTCCCCAAACAAGAAACTGCTGTACACGGCTTCCCAATCACAGTGAGCCAATTGCAGCAGCCAAGTCGAAACAGCAACCATTCAACCAAAATATTATGCTTTCTAATACTAGTCAAACCTTGCATCAAAACCTCAAAGAGCTTCGGATGTTCCAGCAGGATATTCCAACATGTAGTGCAAGCATTGGCAAACCCTGTCCAGAAATAAAAGAAAGATGAGCATAGCATGTACATTATGTGGCTAACCATAGTAACATCCAGTTATATAATTGGGAAAAATATTTTCTGAATTTTTTTTAATTTTTAATGTGCTTTGAAATAATTTTGAGTTGTATGTTTAGTTATGAGTTGTAAATTTTTGTGTCACATATCAAATGTCACATCAATAATTCCCCACTCAAATCAAAACTCTATTCAAAAACCATAACCAAACAAATTTTCTACACTCAAATCATAATTCCACAACTCAAAATACAACTCATACTCTCAAATCATATTTACAAAACTCTACCAAACGCAACTTATATTTTTCAAACTACAACTTCATTATAACTTTCAAATCAATTAGAAACATGACGTGAAATATGGACAATCAAATTGAAATTAATATAACTTTCAAATCAAATTTGAAACATCAAAACACAAAGGAACTTGTAAAAGGGGATCTATGTTTTCAAACCATCTGTTAACTGAACAATCAATAGGCCCTATAACAATCCCCCACCCAAAACCTAAAGAATAATTTATCACGTTCTAATGCACAAGTAAAAACTACAGCCTTGAGCAGTAAGGAACTACTAAAGGGCCTACAATATGGTCCAAGTGGTGTGGGTGGTTTTGAGCACCAGTCCCACAACGATCAATGAATGACCCAACCTTCCTACAAATTTAGCACGGCTTCCTCTCATACAAATGCAATAATAAGAACTGAATCTCAATCGTAAATACATGGAAGATATGCAAATAAAGTAGAGCAAAATTCATTTTACCCCTTGTGGTTTATATTGAATCATATCTTCAGCTTTTCACATTCTTGGAGTTAGTGACTAGTGATGTGTAAGATCTCTTATGGGTTTTCAATGCTCATTCTGATCACTAGTTGCACTTTGGATTTGAGCCTATTGTTTTTCAAATTATGCTGCCAATTTGTATCGTAGCTTTATGTCTTTATGATATTCTCTCTTTGTTTCTCCCTCGTGAAGAATTTCATATTTATATCAAAATTAGGGACAATGCCCATCTATAAATTTAAGAGGTTTGGTTTCATCTACAAATTTAGGACATTGCCATTTACGCTATTACATATATTTGTGTGGGGACATAATTTTTAAATGACAAACACGTAGCCGAAGTGTCATTGAAGTACCGGCCGAGGTGCCATGTGTCTTGGTCATGACGCCGAGATAATCTCGGCTAGGCCGAGGTTATCTACGAGAATACTGAAAGCCGAGATAAGCGGATAAGGGACAAGAGTCCTAGAATGGGAGAAGACTTTAGTTTGAGTAAAAATAAGACTCTTAGAAAGTTTATCCTAATTCTACTGGGAGTCCAAGATTAGCAGTAATCCTAAGTCCATTGGAGCTAGGCTTCTATTGGAACTAGGATTATGTTGGCTATAAAAGAGAGGCACCCTCATGGGTCTAAGGTATGTCTTTTATGCTTTGTCCAGTGAGTTTAGCACTATTGATTATCTTTGAGAGATATACTGACTTGATCGTCGGAATATCCTTGGGTGGACGAACCACCACCGGGATCTTCTCTTTCTGTTGCAGGTCAGATATGTGCCATCTATTCTGCCAGTGCTCTCCAGCTAAATACTGAGTTGGCAGTGTGGTCGGAAAATTACTCACACAATTTGGCGCCGTCTGTGGGAAAGAAAGGAGAATAGATGGCCAACGACGGACAGAAAGAGAAGGTTGGGGACAACACCCCTACTAAGAATGGGAAGCATATTGACTCTGACATCGAAGAAGTCAACTGCAACGAAGAGACTCGTGATAAGAATCACGAAGGAAAGGACGTCAGCCAGGAGAGCGACCAACCAAAGAAAACGGACCGGAGCGGGTATTACAACGAGGACGACCTCCAGGTATGGAAGGATAGATGCCTGCGGAGGGACGACGGGATAAAGGGAATGGCGGACAAATTGGCAGACCTGCAAACGGTCGTCAATTTCCTGATGCAGAACGACGTCATGCAGCCACTGTTCTTGCTACAAGATATGCCGATTCTAGCGGCCAAGAAAGACGCCCAGAAAAGGGGGTAGAAAACGATTCCTGCAGTCCCTCAGCATGGCGAGACCAAGGGACATTCTCACCGGCCTTCACGAGAGGTCGGCCATAGAGAATCCCAGAAGACATGATCTCGGCCTAGATAATTAGGTCGGAGAAAAGAAGAGCTCAGTCTAAAAGTGAGCAGATCCCAGATTTCAGAAGGCAAGATCTCGACCTAGATGATTAGGTCCGAGAAAAGAAGTGCTCAGTCTAAAAGTGAGCAGATCCCAGATTCCAGAAGGCAGGATCTTGGCCTAGATGATTAGGTCCGAGAAAAGAAGAGCTCAGTCTAAAGTGAGCAGATCCCAGATTCCATAAGGCAAGATTTCGACCTAGATGATTAGGTCCGAAAAAAGAAGAGTTCAGTCTAAAGTGAGCAGATCCCAGATTTCAGAAGGCAAGATCTTGGCCCAGATGATTAAATCCAAGAAGAGAAAAGCACAGCCTGAGTTAAAGACTTTTTTCCACAAAGGAGTAGGTGGAAGCCATGTAGAGGGCTGGAGAATGATGCTTTGAAGTTGGAATTTTCAAGCCGAGGTCATGTTTAACACTTGTTGAAACTTGAGAAAAGTTTACAAAGTTGAAGTTAAACCGAGATTATTTTTAACACTTGTTGAAACTTGAGAAAAGTTTACGAGTTGAAGTTAAATCGAGATCATGTTTAACACTTGTTGAAACTTGAGAAAAGTTTACGAGTTGAAGTTAAACCGAGATCATGTTTAACACTTGTTGAAACTTGAGAAAAGTTTATAAGTTGAACCGAGATTATGTTTAACACTTTTTGAAACTTGAGAAAAGTTTACAAGTTGAACTGAGATTATGTTTAACACTTGTTGAAACTAGAAAAAAGTTTACGAGTTGAAGTTAAATCGAGATCACGTTCAACACTTGTTGAAACTTGAGAAAACTTTACAAGTTGAGCCGAGATTATGTTTAACACTTGTTGAAACTTGAGAAAAGTTTACAAGTTGAAGTTAAACCGAGATCACGTTCAACACTTGTTGAAACTTGAGAAAAGTTTGCAAGTTGAACCGAGATTATGTTTAACACTTGTTGAAACTTGAGAAAAGTTTACAAGTTGAAGTTAAACCGAGATCACGTTCAACACTTGTTGAAACTTGAAAAAGGTTTGTAAGTTGAACCGAGATTATGTTTAACACTTGTTGAAACTTGAGAAAAGTTTACAAGTTGAACCGAGATTATATTTAACACTTGTTGAAACTTGAGAAAAGTTTACAAGTTGAAGTTAAACCGAGATCACGTTTAACACTCGTTGAAACTTAAGAAAAGTTTACAAGTTGAAGTTAAACCGAGATCACGTTTAACACTTGTTGAAACTTGAGAAAAGTTTACAAGTTGAAGTTAAAACGAAATCACGTTCAACACTTGTTGAAACTTGAGAAAAGTTTACAAGTTGAATCGAGATTATGTTTAACATTTGTTGGAACTTGAGAAAAGTTTACAAGTTGAAATTAAACCGAGATTATGTTTAACACTTGTTGAAACTTAAGAAAAGTTTACAAGTTGAAGTTAAACCGAGATCACATTTAACACTTGTTGAAACTTGAGAAAATGTTACAAGTTGAAGTTAAAGCCGAGGTCATGTTATAAGAAGACTGGTTTAACACTTGTTGAAATTTTGAGAAAATTTACAAGTTAAAGTTAAAGCCGAGGTGATGTTATAAGAAGACTGGTTTAAACACTTGTTGAAATTTTGAGAAAATTTACAAGTTGAAATTAAGCCAGGATTACAAGTGAGAGAAGTATCTATGCACGATTACCATGTGGCCAAGACTTGGAAGATAATGGAAGACAAAAGTCTTAAGAAATAAAAAAGTGGCGAGTTTTGAGCAAACACTTGCCTAGAAGTTGTGTCCGAGATATTTTACCCCGAAGAGATTACACAGTGAAGGTGTACCTTGAAGACATGCAAATTATTTTAAGTATAGAATGCATTCAGAAAAGAAAAGAAAAGAAGGCACTTCGGCCTAAACATTGAAGAATGATTGTACAGATTACAAAAGTGGCACGTCGGCCAAATTAAAGCTTACATTGTTTCAAAAGTAAGAAAAGAGTACTAAGTACAAAGAAAAAAATCATAAACGAAACTACTCGGCGTTGGCAACGGACTATGTCTCACCCCCAGAAGACAGCTGGGAAGACTTCCCGACAACCTTCTCGGCCTCGAGCTCAGCGTCGGTCTCTTGTAGAGTCTGGTCGATGCTCTTCTTAGCGATAGACGCGTCAGATGTGGTCTTCTCAGGGACAGCGTCTTTGAGACCTCATCCCCTTTATCCTGAGTCAAGTTGAAGACTTGCTCATTTAGAGTTGAAGACTTGGCCTCACCAGCTTCTTCATTTCTTCTCGGCCTCAGTCTGATCCTCGGACTCAGCTTCGTCTTCAGACTGGCTTGGAGATGGAGGGAATGACAGGACGAGGTTGCTAGCATTCTTGAGAGGAGAATCCTTAGGGACAGGAGCAGACGGATATGTTCAGACATGGCAAACAAGCAGAGACAACAAGGTATGAAACTAAAGAGGTGAAAAAAGGAATAACTCACCGAAGAAAATGAAGCCGGTGTTCAATATGCCGCAGTCAGATGACGGTAGCAATCGGAAAGGATCAGCAAAAGCTTCACCGGAGGAGAAGAATGGAAGTGGTTGCAGAGCTTGAGAGCTTGAAACATGACAGATTTGGGAGAATAAAAAGAAAGAGTCTAGGGACACAGAAAGAAATGAAATGGTTTCGTTGGAATTAGAAATCCTGACGTGCCTGTGCTGACGTCAGACGGCGGGGGGCAGAACTGATGCGACACAATGGGGGCGTGATTGGTATGTTCCAAATCTGATGATGATCTCTGATGATAGTGTGATCTCTGTTGAGATGTTGAACCTGGATGAGAAAGAACATGATGATTCTTGATTCTTGATTCTTCATGAGTGGACATATGAGTCCTAAATTCTTGGTGCCGACAAGCCATGAACTCGGCCGGAGTACATGTATAGGTTCCATCACCTCAGGATGCCGAGGTAATAGAACCTAGGGGGCAATTGTGGGGACATAATTTTTGAATGACAAACACGTGGCCGAGGTGTCACTGAAGTGCCGGCCGAGGTGTCACCGAAGTGCCAGCCGAGGTGCCACGTGTCCTGGTCATGACACCGAGGTAATCTCGGCTAGGCCGAGGTTATCTGCGAGAATACCGGAATCCGAGATAAGCGGATAAGGGACAAGAGTCCTAGAATGGGAGAAGACATCAGTTTGAGTAAAGATAAGACTCTTAGAAAGTTTATCCTAATTCTACTGGGAGTCCAAGATTAGCAGTAATCCTAAGTCCATTGGAGCTAGGCTTCTATTGGAACTAGGATTATGTTGCCTATAAAAGAGAGACACCCTCATGGGTATAAAGTATGTCTTTTATGCTTTGTCCAGTGAGCTTAGCACTATTAATTATCTTTGAGAGATATACTAACTTGATCGTCGGAGTGCCCCCGAGTGGACGAACCACCGTCGGGATCTTCTCTTTTCTATTGCAGGTCAGACAGGTTTCATTTTTGTGCCAGTGCTCTCCAGCTGAATACTGAGTTGGCAGTGTGGTCGGAAAATCACTCACACAATTTGTATAACTTTTGTGCTATTTTTTAAAATGAGATTACCTTATGTTTGGTTGAGTTTTCAAAACCTAGTTTTTTAAAAAATTTCAAAAACTAGTTTCATGAACAAAATAAAAAACACATGTTATTTTTATATGATTCTCTCCTTTTTGAGATGAAAATAATTTTGGAAAATTCAAAATTATATTTTTTATGTTTATTTTTGTTAAACTAGTTTCTAATTTTGCAAAACTTTTCAGAAAATAAGTTCTCAAAACTCAATCAAACAGACTTGTTTGTAGATTATATGTAGAATAGTTGTTAATCTATAGTTAAGTTAAAACTAGTTAGACAATAGATGTGAGAGAAAGAGAGAGGGTGCAGATAAAAGGAGGAAATAGAATAAAACAAAGTGTTATTAAGGTCATTTCACATTTTTCGTTAACAGTGCTAGCATTGCACTTTAGTTCAAATCCACATGAGGGGTAAATGGCTATTTTTAAAAGACAATGGGTTAAAGTACTCCGGGACTAAACTACAAGGAAGTAAAAATGGTTTTTTCCCAATAAACTATAAGAAACCAACACGAGTGGAAGTGTTTTAGAGGTCAAAGACTAAAACACTCCGCACATGATTTTTGCCCAATAATTATAAGAAACCAGCACGAGTGGAAGGTTTTTAGAGGTCAATGACTAAAACACTCCACATATGATTCCTGCATTATGCTCTTGTTCTATTTTCTTCCTTACTTGGATGTTTCACACTTTTTCACCCACTACCAGACCCAAATAATCAATTACTTCAACCTCAATTTCATATAAAAACAAGTTTTAGGCCTTTCCCTTTCACAGCTACAACCCTAACACCCATGTGGACCGAAAACCACCAATTTAATTGTTCATGGTTGTGGATAGCCATCCAACTTTGTCACTCCTAGCATGATGAAGACTTGAAGACCTTACCTTTTTCTACACACTCAAACTCAAAAAGTCCATAACCCTCTACTAACCTTCTAACCACCAAAAACAAGAACAAAATAAAGAGAGAGAAACCGTAATATTCCCTAAAGTTCTTCCTTAACACGTTTAGTGCTATTCTCGTAGAACTATGCAGTTCTCACTTGGTTGTGATTTTGTTAAAAATAAAAATAAAAAATTTATCTCCGTATATGCCACTTACACTGTGTTTGGATTGAGTGATTTGGAGAGAAAAGAAAAGAAATAGAGAGAATTGTATTTCTCTTCCTTGTTTGGTTATCTTAAGTGGAGAGAAATGGGGAAAAATAGAGAGAAATGGAGAGAAACTCATTTCTCTCATAACCCTTATTTTCAATCTTCCCAAAAGTGGAGAGATTGGGAGAGAAAAGAAATCCACAAATGTTTATATTTTCATAATACCAATTTTACCCCTGTAAAAATAAAAGAAATAAAATGATTGAAAATATAAAAAGGTTATTTTGGTAATATAACATAAAATAATTTCTTTTCTTTTCTCTTAATGAAATCTAACCAAACAAGAAGGAGAGAAATCACAATCATTTCTTTTCTTTTATTTCTTACTTATCCAAACAAAAAGGAGAGAAATTACAATCATTTCATTTCTTTTCTTTTCTCTTATTACTTAAGTAATCATTTCTTTTCTTTTCTCTCCTAAGTTACCAAACATAGCGTTAAAGTTCCAAATTTTAGCCACAAAAAAGAAAAAGAAAAAGAAAAAAGAACCAAAATTGTAATATAGGTATGATATGATATAAGGGAGCCGAAAGTGTTCAAGTCCATGAATTGGTGAGCACAAAAAAATGTTCGGAAATCAGCAACTGCAAAATGTGTTAAATTTCCATCTTTGCCCTTGTATACTTCCCTACAATTCCTTTTCATCCATATCTATCTTTCAATGGATTTGCTTTCATTCTCATTTCATCATCATATTAAGTAATTTTATTTATAATTGTGCAGAACTCATCAAGCAAGGTCAGCTAATAAATAGCACAAAAAATTTAAAAAAATAAAAATAAAAAAAAGAAGAAGATATTTGTAAATTATACGGTCCAATTAACTGAAAAAAACAATTACTCTAAGCAAGAGGAACCCAAAGTTAAAGAGCTTAAAATTACCAGAAAGCCTCTCCCGAGGGTTCTGCAGGGCTTCGCGAAGGAACTGATCCACGGAATTGATTACATCTTCGGAAACGTCTCCAACCTTCTGAACCATAACAAGCGAAGAAGAAGCCGAAGAAGCTGAACCATAAACAAGGTGATCATGAGAAGCAGAGCTCAACGAAGACGAAGACGAAGATGGCGGATTCGAAGAAAAAGAGTTGTTGTTGTGGGAAGAGAGCATCAATCTGGTAACGCTGGCCTCCAAGTCCGCCACCTCCCAGGAATCAGGGGGGGCTCCGAGATCCTCCACAGAGCCCTCCATGGAGGATTGAGAGAAATCTACGGTTAGCGAATCCAAGTAATCATCAAATTCAGCTCCATGAATAAACCCTAAGATCGTATTCGGCGGATATCATTGAGAGTTGGATTGGATTGGAATTTCAATTTCTCGAAGAAGAGAGATTATTAGGGCAGGAAGGGGGAAAAAAAGTAGGGGGAATAGGGTTTGACGTTTGAGTGGGAAGGGGGTCACACCACTCGTGTCGGGCGATGGGTATTGGAGTAATGGGAATCGAATTGACACGCGTGTTTGAATAATTGCCAGTTGTGGGATCCAAATCACCAACTTTGACACGTCAATTTAGCTATATCATCACAAAAATTTGTTTTTTTTTTTTTGGGACAAATTATAAATAAAAAAAATTAATTTTGCTTTAAATTTTTTTGTTTATTTTTAATATATATTATTCATCTATTTTTGTTACTAAATAAAATTTTAAAAAATATTTTAAAAAAATTATTTTTCTGTTGAATTTATTTAACGGTCTATTTTCGTTAAGTAAAATAAAAAATATATATTTTAGTCATTGAACTCAACGGGAAAAAAATATTTTATACATCTTATGTACACTTATTTTGTGTCTAATAGCTAAAATATCATTTTTTTTTATCATTTTGCTTAACGAAAATAGGTAAATAATTTAGATTGAAACAAATAAATAAATATGTAATTAACCCAAAGTTTATTTTATTACAATAGTTAAACCTAGGATTTTTTTAATTATTTCAATTTAAATCATGAACTTTTAAAATATTATCATTTGTATTTGGTAGTTAAAAAATCTAATGAAGAATGAGCAATTCAAACAATTTAACCACTTTTTTCCCCCTTCGTTACTGTTGACTGCCAGCCCACCTTCCACGTTTACCGCCATCCATCACTGCCCCTTATTTTCCCCAACCTACTGCTACTACTCCATCTTTTTTTCTCGTCCACCATTACTCCTCTTCCTAACTCATTACCACCCCTCTAATTCCTTCCCTAGTCCATATTCATAATTATCGTTGTTGTCCAACACTACCGACAAAAAAATGGTTAAATTATCTAAATTACTCATATTTCGTTAATTGTCATTTTCGAACGGTTAGAATTGATACCATTTTAAAATTTAAAAGTTTAAATTAAAACAATTAAAAAGTTATGATTTGATTTATTACTAAGGCCTCGTTTGGCAAGAGGCTATTTTAGTCAATTAGCCAAAAAGTTGCTAAATTAGCTAAAAAGCCAACAACCCATACCAAAAAGTCAAAGATTCTCTTTTCTCTCTACTTTTTGCACATCTTTTCGTAATTAGCCAAAAAGTCATCCCAAACATACAAGTTTTTTTTACCTACCTTTTTAGCCAAATAGCCAAAAAGTTACTAAATTAGCCTATTCCCAAACGAGGCCTAAGGTCAAATGTGATCTTTCTTTTTTTTTGATAATTTTTCCAAAAGTATATTATTCTATTTAAAATTGTAAATTCTACTGTTTTATATCATAGTGTGATTGTGTGAATTAAAATCTGACTCAAATTATGGGAGTTTCCATTTTTATACCAAAACATATTAGCTCACATCCTCTCTCATAATACACACATTAAGATCACGTTTGGCAACTTGACTTTAGCTAAAATAATTAAAAAATCAAAAGTCAAAAAAATATTTTTTTTGAAAAAAGGTGAAATATCTCAATAATTTATAATTTTCAATACAACTAAAAAAAATTTATTCCCAAATATATTAAATCTTTTTCACCTTGTAAAAATTTCATTAAAAAAGTAATTTTTCTCTCTCTAAAAAAAAAAGAGCAAATTTTCAAACAAGGCCAGTAATTTTGAATTTCCCCCCTTCTTTAATATTCAAACCCTAAGTCTAATTCCCTAACCTTTAACTATCGTAGGCTGCTACTCATCTCTACTCCTAACCACCCCAACTCTTCTCTTACCCTCTCTTGTTGTCATCACTTTCTCCTTTACCTTTTATCGACCATGTTAGTCCTCCTTCATCAGGTAGGACCACCACAACCTCCTTCTTCGCCATGGATCACTGGTGTTGGTTAGAGTTAGGGATAAAAAGAAGAAGAAAAAAAAATTAGATTGAGGAAGGGGCACGACAGAAAAGGGTTTGGAACGAAGAGGAGTTTGTATAAGAAAGGTTCATAATGAGGGCAATTTTGCAGTAATTGGGTAGTTCATGATGGTGAAATGTTCGCAATAGAGATGGTTCGCAACAATGGAGATTTTGCGATCATAAGAGATTTGCAACTAAGGTGATTCATAGCGGTGAAGGGTCGGGGAAAGGACACTACTGCAAATCATAAATAGATCACACTTTTTTTGTGTGGTGTATGTTATTTAATCACACCTTTTAAGTTTTATTAAAGTGCGATCTTTGGGAGTGTGATTAAAAGGGGTCATTTTTAATCACACTCCCAAAGTGTCATTAAAAAATGATTCCATCACATGTTTTGAATGTGATAATAAATATTTAGATCCACATCTTTTAAGTGTGATTAATAACATTTAGATCACATCTTGTAAGTGTGATTAATAATTAATAAAAAAATTTAGATCACAGATTTTAAGTATGATTAATATCTAATAAAACCTGTGATTAAAAATATTTAGATCACATCTTTTAAATGCGATTAATAACTAATAAAACCTATGACAATAAACATTTAGATTACAGATTTTAAGTGTGATTAATATCTAATAAAACTTGTGATTAATAATGAGATAAGATCACACGTTTTTATGCATTTCTCATCACAATTAATGCGTGTGATAAAAAAAGGGGTTCGACATATTTCAAGAATAATCAATATTATTTTTGTACGCGCATTTGAAGAATATAATACACACTATATACTATATTTTGAATCACAACTGCATATTGAATGGAATAACGTCATATATTTCATAAATGAAAGTTAAATGTTCAAAAGTATATATAAAAGAATTAATAAAAAGTTTTTAACTGTGATTACATATATTAAAAAATGAAAAAAACTAGAAAAACTAGGTTCTTGAATTCTTTGACCATATTTTGCATCTCTTCAAGAAATTTTTGATCTGAAAAATGAAAACACAAATTAATTCAGAAACCGCTAGAAGCATATATTCCTCAATAAGTCATACCTCAATAAGTGATTATATATTCCTTACCAACTACAGACATTGTTTATTAGCAATTTAAAGAATGGAAGTTATATCATACTTACATGTTGAATTTCAACTTACATTATTTAGTACGAAATTAATCTATTCAACTCGCACTTCATCAAGTTCGGTTTCCATGTAAGTTTTTTTTCTATTGAACTGCAAGAGGTTATTTAGAAACAATTAGATAATAATGTACAAGTATCATGCATATAATAGTAATAAAAGTTAGAATTTATCTCAGATTTTGTTTTCTTAGGATGCTTTGATCTCTAACGAGGTCTTTCAAATACCTCATTCCATAAAACCCACATTCTATGTTTGTGGGTTGTTGCGGGGACTACATGAAAGCATTTTCATTATTATTGGAAACTACATATAAAGTGTTATGATCAAGTTGAACAATCATTAACATAAATATAAGTATGATAAAATTAGAGAAAATGATATTGATTACCTGAATTACTTTTCAAACTGGATTGATCCTTCTCCTTCTTTGGGTAGTTTCATAAATTTTCAAAGCACTTTACAAAAGAAATTTCAGAAGTCAAAATATTTTTAGGATAACTCAAATTGCTTAAAAATGTACGAACCAACCAAACTTACACGTTTATTACAATTTCAAGGCTTGTGTTTATTTTAGAATTAATCGGATCATGCAAGTACACAATTATCAATGTTAGATCAATGACTAATAATATCCAATGGTACCTACAATTGAACAAGTCACAAGTATAAACTTAATAAGTTTATTATCTTTTCAACACATGAAATAAATAGTTTTAGATAATTACCCAATATTATAAGGAATTAAAATCAATTGTTCTAGCATAGCGTCCTCTAATCTTGTTGCAACCAACACTGATTTTGATTTCTCCCCAGCCATAGTTTTTCCACTAACGACACAAGCGTTAACAAATAAAAATTGTTTCCTCCAATTGGAAGCCTTCAACACCTGATGGAGATGACTAATAAAAGAAACAAATGTTAATTAAATTCGTAATTCATAAAATCTATAGAAATAGCTATTGATGTAGCAAATTTTCCTTACCTTATGTACAACATGATACATGTAACAGATAATTCTTTTACATGACATATGTACTTCATGTCTACTCTTTGAAGTTGGATATTGATCTCCTCCCCAAATATGTCTTTCTCTAGTGGAATGTTTATGGCTTCATTATACTTGATATGCTCGACTAATGAAACAAAATATTGAATGGACTCTTGATATTGTCCACGTTCAACATTAATTGAAGCTCCCTAAGTTTAAAATTTTCAAAATAAACAAATATAAGTCAACTTCAATTTTAAGAAAGTGTAATAAAGTTTCTAAGTTTGAATATTTTACCTCATCACCGACAATACAAGATTTTTGGACCAAGCAACAAAAAATCCCACTGCTTCTCCAACAATAAGTATCTCATCTGGGATAGGTATAGGAAAAGGGACATCTTTTTGAATAACAACTTGAATAGACACACATACATTGGGTTCTCTTAATGGCATTGTATGAATGGCTTCATTGGGCTCAATTCTCTTATACACCATACCATGTGCAACAATATTTTTAATGGAACCTACCACGAGTTTACACGATTTGCCCTATAACACACAAAGTTAACAATGGAACTTCTAAGAATATCACTAACGATATTAGAAATTATAACATCAATATATAAAAACTACACATATTTCTCTTATTTTGTTTAGGATCTTGATGTGGAATGTCGTCCTTAGTTCTCACCATATTTTCTGCTAAGATAGAATCATGCTGAAAATTGCCTCTACCACCATTTTTCAACGTGTTTGAACATTTTCTCTATAACAAACACACAGATAACAACAAAAGCACTAATAAAATTACTAACAGTATTAGAAAATATAACAACTTTAGATGTTTTAAATGCTACACACCTTTATGATTTTTTGGGTACGAGCTTGCGGTGGAATGTCATCCTTAGTTCTCACTCTGTTTTCTGTTGAGAGAAAATCAAGTTGAAAATTTCCTTCATAGCCACTTCTCAAGGTGTTGGAACTAACATGTTCAGATCTTGG